AGGACCAGCAGCAAAGACTGAGGGAGGCTGCGGAGGGCCTGCGTGTCGCCACCAACGCTGCTGCTCAGAATGCTATTAAGAAGAAACTGATTAACAGACTGGAGGTAAGTAATGCTACATCTTGTCCCAAAATAAATAGTACTTTAGGAAGAGGGCATTTCCTCTTGAATCTGAAAATATTTACAATAAATCATGATATTCACACCAAGACCAGTCTTACAGTAAATGTCACCATCTCTAAAGTACCAAACATTAGGATGAGTACGAGTGGAGGCATCACTCTGCATCAAAGATTAGTGAGTATTAGATTTTGATTTCAGCAGCAGGATGTCTCTCACCATTAAATGTCAGGACAGATTTATTTTGTGGTTGCATTTTTTTGAATAGTATAGGAAAAATAGTGATCTATCTTTAAAATGGATCAATACGGGCTCATTTGCCTCAGGATTATTTTGCTCTTGCCCAAACGAGTCGGGTAGTCCCTTTTCCTTTTATAGTTTGTTACAATGTGCAGTTGTACTGTATGTTTATTTTACACAGACACTGGATTTTTGTTATCTACAATAATTGATCAGTTTTGTATAAACAAAAGACCTTCAATTGAACTTGGAACATTTGAGGACCAAACTTTTATTAATGCTTTTTATTTTATTTCTACTCATATGCATTAAAATATAGTATTGTTAATAAATTATTCATGCAGCCTGCATTCATAGGGATGCTTTCAGCTTATCATCTTGTTAGGAAATACACAAAATCGACAGTAGTCTTTTAATATCCACGCTCAATAGCGGAGATGTGACACTGAGAAGTCTTTAATTTAAATGGACACTTGAGGTGAGACTGATACAGAGACAGAGAGCTGCTGTTTATTCATATTCTACATGTGAATGTTTATATGGGTTTTAATAATCCTCAGAATGCTGCCAAGCAGGCTGCCGCTGCAGCCACGCAGACCATCGCTGCTGCTCAAAATGCTGCTGCCTCCAACAAGAACACTGCTGCTCACCAGCAGCTGGTGCAGAGCTGTAAGGTGAGGTGCTGATAGTACGATGTGTTTCTTTTTTTCTTTTTTTTTTTGGGTGTTTTGCTGCTGTTTACTTCACACTATTTTTCTTTTTTATTTGCTGTTTAATGTCATTGTATTGTGACGATTCAAATCACTTGCTTGATGATTTATTGGAAAGTATAATAGATGGATTTTAAACTGAGGCTGTATTTTTTTTTTTGTGTCTTGTGTCTGTATAGGCAGTGGCAGACCACATCCCACAACTCGTCCAGGGGGTGCGTGGCAGCCAAGCCAAACCAGAGGACCTTAGTGCTCAACTAGCACTTATCATTGCCAGCCAGAACTTCCTACAGGTGCAGTGTACACACACACACACACACACACACACACACACTCTCTCTCTCTATGGCCCTACCATTTTTCACCTTTGCTGGATTTTAAAAACTTTATGTCCCCATGCTCAAATTGACTAACTTCAGTCCTACATAGGGAACCAGGCTGAAAAGAGTATAAATAGTGCTTCTGCCATGTGGGGATCCCTTTAAAAATAGGCCTGTAACCTCTTTTTGGTGTAAGCAGGCAGTTAAAGAAGCAGTGTTGTGATGGGATTATGTGTTTAATGTCTGAGTGACACTTTTAGAGCTGATGCAGGACTGTGGGGTTTCCACAAATACCACCACATAATGTAACCTTTGTGCCTTGTTGTTGCCTGGAGCAACATTTAGTTTTTCTAGGCAGTTCCCTAATGCTCTCAGGGAAAATATAATTTTTATAAAACATTTTAGTTTTTTTTTTTCTCCCTCTTTTTTCTTTTTCACTCTGCAGCCTGGTAGTAAGATGGTGACCTCGGCCAAGTCATCTGTTCCCACGGTGACAGATCAGGCTGCAGCCATGCAACTGGGTCAGTGTGCCAAGAACCTGGCCACATGCCTGGCTGAGCTGAGGACGTCTGCACAGAAGGTAGAGCACAGAAACACAAAGGCACTTGCATATGTGCAGGAAGTCACATTTCATATGCAAACTACATGCAAAAACAAACCCAGTACATTTACATCATTCCAGAAAGACACTGCATAATAAGCTGCATGGTTAAAATAATGGCAAGGACTATAATTCATGTCAACAAGGTGTGTTCAGTTCTTGAGTTGTTGTTTTTTTACTTCCTAGTCCACATCAGATGCACTGCAGTGTAAACTGCTGTCTTAAAGGCTTTTAAATTCTGAGTCACATCAAGTCACCTAAGTTGATCTGTGTCAATAGTCTGACACACTTGCCACAAGTACAGGATTTGAAGCAGATATGTTTAGTATATAGCACCTGTTTGAGTTATAACGAGCAGAAACTGACAACAGAATATATTTCTGTCTACTTACAATGTGAACTGAGAGTGACATTAGACTTCCTTTTATTCTCTAGGCTCATGAAGCCTGCGGCCCCATGGAGATTGACTCTGCGCTGACTGCCATTCAGACCCTGAGAAGTGAGCTGCAAGATGCCAAGCTGGCTGCTGTTAATGCCCAGCTGAAACCACTACCCGGGGAATCGGTAAGAGATGTTTTAGACCAATGAGACTGACTCAGGAATCATTCTTCCGAAGCCAGCATGAAAAATTGCACTTGCATTAAGCTGTACAAACAATACTGGCTACCAGCAACTCATGCTTGAAGCAGAGTCTAATGGGTTTGCAACCTAATATTTAGTTTTTAGTTACTTACTTCCCCTTTCCCTCTGCTCCAGTTGGAGAAGTGTGCTCAGGATCTGGGCAGCACCTCTAAGTCAGTGGGATCCTCCATGGCTCAGCTGCTCACGTGCGCTGCTCAAGGAAATGAACACTACACAGGTTGGTACTGGTGATATACTGACTTCTTTTCAGTTCCAAACTGCACAATATTTCCTGCCATGCCACCATAATGATCTTTGACATGTTTAAATACATAAAAAGAAAAGGGAGAAAAACAGGAAGAACATCAGACCATTATTGTTCAAAGGGGACTCACAGGAGGGTAGCGTCATTTTTCACTGTAGAATAGGCAGTCCTTTTCTCCCATTTTCTAAAGAAGTTTGCTCCTGTAGATCTGAGAGAAAGTCCTCCTTTCATTACAGAGATTTCTTTAACTATGTCCAGCCACGGCTCAAGGCTTTTTTTACACTTTTACGAGCTACAAACACTTTTCAGACTGTTCATGTTGCAGTTACCAACATCTTTTGCTTTGCACAAGGCGTCTTTGTCTTTTTTCACATGACTTTAAAATATTTGAGCTACTTGATGTGATTGAATAATCCAGTTACCCAATATACAGCATCAAAAGTCACTTAATATTTTACCCAGATCTCATGTAGTGCTCTTAGTAGGCTTTATCTGGTGAATTGGGGTGAGGCAAGGTGAATAAAGATATTTAAATTTTTTTTATCTAAATCTAACCTTGCCTATTTTGGATCTCTTCAGTTGTAAACATGTGTTGTCCAAAGACTTTTCATTACCCTGGTTTATGCTCCTTAGGTAAAATTGTTAACTGCTATGTATAATATGTCTATAATATGTATAATTTGTTGTATCCCATCCAGCTGGTTTGTTGTAAATGAGACATCACATTTCTCATGAGACATTTAATTCAATGGCAAATACCCTCTTGGACAAAATTATGTTTTGTCTGTGTTGCTTGTTGCAACACATTTGTCAGGATAGAAAATATACTTAATACTTACTTAATACTATGCATTAAACAAACATCCAGTTCAAATAGGATGTCATTTTTTAGGATTTATGATGAAGAGTCATAGATGTATAAATTATATATGTGTCTCTGAGATACTTCTGTCACATCTGTACTGTTCCTTACGTCTGATCCTTTGTGTAGGAATAGCAGCCAGGGAGACGGCTCAGGCCCTCAAAACACTGGCACAAGCGGCCCGCGGTGTCGCTGCCTCCACTACGGACCCCAAGGCTGCTGCTGCCATGCTGGACTCAGCTCGTGATGTTATGGAGGGCTCAGCACTTCTCATTCATGAGGCCAAGCAGGCATTGATTTCCCCCGGAGACGCTGAGAGTCAGCAGAGGCTGGCGCAGGTGAGACGGTTCAACATTGCTCAGGGGGGTATGGAGTCTATTCTACGCGTCTGTCCTTTTTAACAATGCGGGTGACTCTTGATGCTCCAGGCTGGAAGGTGCCTTGAAAGCTCACACCATCAAATGTCACTGCAAAGACAGTTCTGCAGGATTCTGCAGGTTGTCAAAACAAAAATATACTCTCAGCTTGTGCGTCCATGAGACTTTTGTTTATGCTGATTCACAACCAACAGTTTATTTTATATTATATTTTTCTCATTACATACAGTATATATATGTTTCATGAATGTTTTATTATTGTGGTTACATTTTTAATACATCATACATCAAACCTTAGTATTTTAACTCTTGGATTAGTCTGAATTTGTACTAAAACAGAAAGTTTAATAATGCTTCACATCTCATAGGACTCATTGAATCCTTAAAGATGTCTTATCTGTAAGAAATTAAACATGCAGCCATGTAAACTTGAAAAGGAAAGTCAGCTCTGTAATGTATTTTGTTCAAGATTTTCTTGTGGACAAAGTCTGAGGCAGATGAATGTCTGCATCTGCTTAGTAATACATGAAAGTAAACACCTGTCAAATATAGCAAGGGACTCCTGTAATAAACCTGGTGGCATGTTTACAGGCCAAGTACCTTTTTTAATTATTAATGTCTTGTCCTCCTCAAATGTTCTTCACAAAATTAACATATGTTTCTCAATAGCAATGTACAGAATTCATAAGGGAATTGCAAATACATATTTTTTATCTCTAAAAAAACCCCAAATTTAAGTAGTGTACTTTGTCATTTGAAATTGCTATGGGATATGAAATTATATTAAGAAACCTGTGCTGCTCTTTTTTTAAAACTGTTACTGCCTCTTGTTTGCATCTAAGGTTGCTTTCATGTTGTCATGTGCTTCTGTTCTGGCCTCTGATTTGACAACCCAGTTTGTAATTGGTTGCATGATCAAAGAGGACACGCAGGCATGATGATTGATATTTGTAAAAGGAAAAAAAATAGTAAAATTATACTGATATTATTCTGCACGACTTCAGCCTTTTAAACGCAACCTGGTCCCTCTAACTCAGTCTGCTGTAAACCTGCTGTGTGTTCCAGGTGGCCAAGGCTGTGTCTCACTCCCTGAATAACTGCGTCAACTGTCTGCCAGGCCAGAAGGATGTGGACATGGCTCTCAAGTGCATTGGGGAGGCCAGCAAGAAGCTGCTGATTGAAACTGTGAGTTTGGTCACTTTGGTGACTCACCACATCTCTGCGAGCAAAATTACCATCATGCCCTTTTCTGCCCCACAGCAAAAAGATCTTTGATAAATGTATTAAGATTAATGACACACGCAAGTTAAAAGTAAAATTGCTAGATATCTGCGGTAGTTTTTGAATTGGTAAGTTATTAATCTTTTTTTGCAGTTTATCTTAAGTGACTTGGTGCTTACCGTCCCTCTCTGTGTCGGCTGTTCAGATCCCACCAGCCTCCAAGTCCTTTCAGGAGGCCCAGAGCGAGCTGAACCAAACAGCAGCAGACCTGAACCAGTCAGCGGGCGAGGTGGTCCATGCTTCCAGAGGCTCCAGCAGCCAGCTGGCGGTGGCCTCCGGAAAGTTCAGCCAAGATTTTGATGAGTTCCTGGATGCTGGTATCGAGATGGCTGGCCACACTCAGGTTGGTCTTGTTAAATTGGTTTTACAAGAACATCTGAGTCATGTTGATGTGTGTTTGATGATGTTCTAATGTTATGAGCTTGTGTAATTTTAGAAAAAGGATGACCAGGTGCAGGTGATTGGGAACCTGAAGAACATCTCCATGGCTTCTAGCAAACTGCTGCTTGCAGCTAAGAGTCTGTCTGTAGACCCCGCAGCAGCAAATGCCAAGAACCTGCTGGCTGCTGCTGCAAGGTACCACAACTAGCTACATACCCACACTTACACACCTAAACATTTGTATGCTTTTTTTCCATAGTGTATATATTTTAGTATATTTCTATCTATATTTTTATTTATTTTTCCTGGAAGTGCTAGGTACTTCCTGTTGTTTAGATACAGTCTGATTGAAAAGCAAATTTGGCATTTGACTGGAATCAGTTCTGTTTAAAACCACTAAGCAGTAAGTAACTCACTCATCATATATTGAACCGTGGTAATATAATCCATCAAGGCAGGTGTGTTTCATTATGAGGTGCAGGTTATCAGCAAAATGCATTCAGTCATCTGTCATCTTAGTCATTAAAGGCTTTAATGTTGGTGACTGCCGCTGCCAACCTCACTTGTAGTTTTTAAAAAATGAAGCAAAAATGGTATTTTTTCAAAAGAAAGAAATATTTAGAATTTTTCATATTTTCTGCATAGGCTTGCACAGAAAAAACCTCCAGTAAATGTCCTCACATATGTCAAAGCCAGCATGCTCACAAACACTTATTGTCAACACACATATTAAAGATTTGTTCTGTTTTCTGTTGTTTTTCTTGTTTCAGAGCAGTGACTGACAGCATCAACCAGCTGATCACACTGTGTACACAGCAGGCTCCTGGCCAGAAGGAGTGTGACAATGCCCTGAGAGAGCTGGAGGTAAACAGAACAACAGAAACAATCAGCAATAATATCAACAAAGGCTCGATGGGGGTCTTATTTTCCATAGTCTATCTGAGTAGTCCGCAAAGAAATAATAATTTGCACTAATTCTCTCATCTGGAATTAACCAGAGAGAAATTTGTGAAAATAAATAACCTCAGAAATACTATCTAGTGAAAGACTCATACCACTCACTCATCTCTCAGGCTGTCAGAGGAATGCTGGACAATCCCAACGAGCCAGTCAGTGACCTCTCCTACTTTGACTGCATCGAGCTGATTTCCGTTGAGATTGATGGAGACTCCGAAGGTAGGTCTTCATTAAGTGAAACAGGCAGTGATTTTAAAAACAAAAACAAAAAATAAAAAAATAATAATAATAATAAAAACACTCTGCACACACAGAGCTCAGCATCCTAAGCCTCCTTCTCTCTTTGTTCTTCTGGCCGGTCCCTTTGTTTTGTCCAGATCCTGGGAGAGTCTATGGCAGGTATTTCTCAGAACTGCAAAACTGGGGATGTAACCGTATTTGGAGACTGCGTAGGATCAGCCTCAAAAGCCTTGTGTGGCCTCACGGAAGCTGCAGGACAGGTACAGAATGAGGAGAGAAGCAACCCTCACTTTACAGTAGCTATTAAATAGCTCATATTGCCTTTTTGAGGCTGATGATGGGAGTTGTTGTTGTTTTTTCCCCACAGTCCTCCTACCTGGTGGGTGTGTCTGATCCCAACAGTCAGGCGGGGCACCAGGGGTTGGTGGATCCTATTCAGTTTGCCAAAGCCAACCAGGCAATCCAGATGGCCTGTCAGAATCTTGTAGACCCAGACAGTAGTCCCTCCCAGGTACATGCACTTACAATACTCTCTGTAAAGCAATCTGTCAGGTTTAGGTGTTGGCAGCATGATAAAGATGGGTATCTACATTTTTCTTGAAGACGTGCCACAGTATGATTTATTATCAGGTAAGAGTGTTGCATGGATGAGTGTTAAGCCTTATAAATTGTACAGTATATGACTATGATAAATGGTTGTTTTAATGCTCAGAGTACATGCAGATTTCCTATCATGTTCATCTTAAATATCCCTGAATCCTTTCTTTATACTGATGTTATAAACATTTTACGTGAAGCAAACATCTTGTTAGAAATGGAATTGTTGATAAAGAAAAGTAAATTTATTACTTAAACCCCTAACAAAAATCTTCAAACAATTTTCGATCTTCAACCTAAGTTTTCTTGCTCCCAAAATTGTATTTTTTCTGCAAATATCTGATGCAGAAGCGTCCAGCTGTGTAGTCAGAAGCATTCACAGCAGGTCTTAAACTCCTCCATTTACCTTTATTATCACCTTTATTGACCTCAACAACATTCTTTGTTCAAGACTAGACTATTTTTTTGCTCCCACAGGGCTCTTACATAAGTCAGTTTCTAACTCGTTAGGCGATACCAGAGATTTACGGGAGGTGCATGTTAGTACATGCATAGTAAATCTAAAATAAAGCACACAGAAATATGTGGAAAGAAATGCTGGATGATTTATACATACGCATGACACTGGGATGATTCTTGATGGCATGCATTGTCATCTACTGATTAACAGTTGCTTGGATATAAAATCCCTGTTCCTGATTTAAATTTTTGTTGTTTATAACGTGGCAGGTGCTCTCTGCAGCCACCATTGTTGCTAAGCACACCTCGGCACTGTGCAACGCCTGCCGTCTGGCCTCCTCCAAGACAACGAACCCAGTTGCCAAGAGGCACTTTGTCCAGTCTGCCAAGGAGGTGGCCAACAGCACCGCCAACTTGGTCAAAACCATCAAGGTAGGATTTCTTTGCCAGTCTTGGCTGGGGGTTGGCTCCCTCCCCTGTTTGACTACGCCAGTGACATTCTTCGTGATTGATGTGGGATAATTCTGATGAATCCTCTGAGTTAATTGTGAAACATTCTTGATTCATGTCTGCTTGTATTTGTTTGCAAACTTCTGTTAATGCTTTGTTTGATTCTTGACTCTTGGATTAGATAAATTAATAGGTAATGTTGTTTAATCAGACTGATTATTAAATCAATAATGTTATTAATTCATATTCCGTGTCTGTCCCTTTCTAGGCTTTAGATGGAGACTTCTCGGAGGAGAACAGGAACAAGTGTCGGGTCGCCACAGCTCCCCTAATCGAGGCTGTGGAAAACCTGACAACGTTTGCTTCCAACCCAGAGTTTGCCAGCATCCCAGCTCAAATCAGCCACGAGGTATGGCCATAAGTGTTTGTAATATTCATGGACAGCTTTTACATTATTTAATTATATCAATGGACGTTTTACAGCAAATATGCTGAAAAAAATGTATATTGTAATTTCTGCAGGGCTCTGCGGCACAGGAGCCCATCCTCCACTCGGCACGCTCCATGCTTGACAGCTCCACCCACCTTCTCAAGACTGCACGCTCATTGGTTATTAACCCCAAAGACCCGCCCACCTGGTCTGTTCTGGCTGGTCACTCCCGCACAGTGTCCGACTCCATCAAGAGTCTCATCACAGCCATCCGGTAAGTGAGTGGAAATAAATGGGATGGGTGACCAAATACAATATATGGTCAATATTTTGGCATTTTGGGAAATTTGCTTATTTGCTTTCTGCTCAGAGTTAGGTGAGAAGATCGATACCACTCTCATGTCTGTACGATGCACATTAAGTCACCACCAGCAGCTGGCAAGCTTAGCACAAAATAACCAGACATATTGTGGTTTTACTAGGGATTTATGTGGCAGAGAGTTTCTTTGTCTTGTTGTCACCTTGTTACCAGGCAACCAGCAGAAACTCCAGGAAGTTACCAAAACGTCATAATTTGTATCCTTTTAACACCACTGTACTCTGTTTCCCTTCAGCGATTATTACTATTTCTGGATGCACAAAGAGGATTATGGGTTTTGAAAATGTACAACTACTGTTAAAACTAATGTTAAAATCAGAATTATGTTTACATTTTGAAATAACTTTCACTTCCATTTATCAGTGTGCATTCATAAAATGCTTTTGAGACTTATGCAGCGTAGTTGAGCAAGGATTCCCAAATGCTGTACCAAGGCATGACAAATGCTTGTACCTCCACAGCTTACATTTTTAATCTCCTTTCACACCTTTTGTACCTGACCTTGATCAGAACAAAACTGATGCCCATGAGGAACTAATTCCCAGTGTCAAACACACTGAATATTAATGTTTCTGCCTGGCTCAGAACATCTGCATGTTAGCATTCACACGCCGCCAGCTTAATGTTCAATTCTGATGTCCTTATCACAGTCTTCCTTTTAGACTGCAAATCGAGTTCTTGGAGTTTGGCCCGGACCTTTAATAGCATTCAGTGATACACTGCACTGCCAAAGAACACAAATAGGAATAGACTCCGTCCTGCAAAAGCCAACCTTATAAACTATTATCATTACACGCAACAATGAGGTTTTATTTTAGTTTTACCTTCAGTGTACCGTCATGCATGGAAATTAGTTTTAACTAAACTCTTTCTGCCTGTGTGGCCAGTGCCCCCAACCCCTCAGAGGCTTCGGTGCTAATTTGGCTGCCCGGCTTGATCTCCCTGTGTAGTGATGATACCCTGCAGGCCACATTTCAGCAGATGTGATCTGACCAGCAATAAGATGAGGGAACCAGTAGACAATTTGTTAAGGAGACATTCTGTTCGTTATGTTAACATTTGAACTTCTTTTGTCTCCCCTTCTCTCTTCTGTCCTCTCCTCATCGCCTTTTCTGTCCCAATTTTTCCACCTATACATCATCCTTCAACTTTACTCTCATTTCTGTTTCCAACCTTTTTTTTTTTTTTTTGCTTTCTGTGTCTCTTCTTTTCCTGTTCCCATTTCATTCTCAGGGACAAGGCCCCCGGCCAGAGGGAGTGCGACTCTTCAATTGATAACATCAACAAATGTATCCGGGACATTGAGCAGGCCTCTCTGGCAGCAGTCAGCCAGAACTTACCCAGCAGGGACGACATCTCACTGGAGGTAAGCAACCATCAGAAAATTACTCAACATTTTCCACAGACAACCAGCTGGTATCTTTCGCTGTTTGCATTTGTCTCTTTTTGTTCTTGTCTGGTTGTTTATCCCCTTTGCACATTTTTATTCTGTGTTTTTCTCAGTCAGTTTTACAGTCACGTCTTTTTTTTTTTTTTTTCTAGTCCTTGCTTTTTGTCACACTCTGATAAATTATGGATCTATTAATGGTGGTTTTAATTAGGTTTCTGTGTGTTCTAGGTCACAAACATCTCATTAGGCAGAAATCTGGGATTGAATGTCATCTAAAAACCTTTCTGCAGTTCAATGCAGTATTTTGGTGACCCTTCTAGTAGCCTACCTGCAGTTTGGATCCCACTGGGTCCTTAGGCCATAAAACCTGAGATTGGCATGAAGCAGAACTGATCTAAAAGCAGTTTTTCGCACTTGCACCAGTTTTGTAGAGTTATGAAGTGTTTAAGCTCACATATTGGAAGCTAAAGTAGCTTTAACTCCCTGCCTGGTGCTTTTTAGCAGGTTCTAGCTGACATATTTGAATATACCTCTGTCTCCCATAAAAAGCAAGTCAAAAACTAATTCTTTTTATTTTCTCTCTTTAGGCACTACAAGAGCAGCTGACGTCCACTGTGCAGGAAATTGGCCACTTAATTGACCCCGTTTCCACCGCTGCCAGAGGCGAAGCTTCCCAACTAGGACACAAGGTATATAGGGCAGGAGTTAATTACTTTACTTAAATACTGCTGGAGCAACAAAGTAATACTTTTTTTTTAACAGGTAGCAGTATTACGCATTTCCCTGTGTTAGGAGTGGGTATCTGGACAAAATGAGTATTGTGCTAATTAGGGCAGCAATATCTCTCCCACTCTTCTTCTTCTTTTGAAAATGTAGCATTTAGTGTAATTGAGACATTGAGGAATTCTCACAGAACTCATTAAAAACCTTTGCACTTTGCCTCAGGTGACCCAGTTGGCTCGTTACTTTGAGCCGCTGATCATGGCCTCTGTGGGTGTGGCATCCAAGCTGAAGGACCACCAGCAGCAGATGACTTTCTTGGACCAAACTAAGACTCTGGCTGAGTCTGCGCTGCAGATGCTCTACGCTGCCAAGGAGGGTGGAGGAAACCCAAAGGTACAACTATTTCACTTTATGCTTTTTTTTTTTTATATGTTGCCACTCTTCCTCGGAAGGATTATCAGGACAGTGATATTTAATATGTGCTTGTGTCTTGATGTCACATTTCACACAGGCGTCCCATACCCATGATGCCATAGCAGAGGCAGCCCAGCTCATGAAGGAGGCGGTTGACGATATCATGGTGACCCTGAATGAAGCTGCCAGTGAAGTGGGGATGGTGGGAGGAATGGTGGACTCCATCGCAGAGGCCATGGCCAAGGTGATTAGAACACATGGCTTTTAGCTTTCCATTTGCCTGGACTGTCAGTTATTTCACACTCTGGCTTAACTTAAGAGAAGCTACAGACATTCGTCTCCTAAGCATATCCCCACGCTCTTGCAGTACCTCTCACCATGGACAACTAGTTTAAACCCTTTTCAAGAAGCACAGAGAAAACAGCCCATGTATGAAGTTCACCACAAGCTCTACTTTCCTCCCTGCCAAAAATGTAACTTTCCATGTACCAAGAGCCTGTTTCTGAGACTCGGTCCACCCTGTGTGGCCAAACAGAGGTGCTTGCCTTCAAGCTCCAGGAAAACACTAAAGACTAAAATTAAGTGAGGACAAAGTTGTGGTCGCCTGAGACTACACAACAACATTCCCACTTCAGCATAATCTTAAGGAGTTGGCAAAATGATGTAGCGGAAAGGACCTTTTTGTGGCAAGGGCCACAATGGAAAGAGCCTAAATACTGTTGAAAAAAAACCAGTGGAATGAATTGGTTAAAGGTTGATAGAGAGTACAGGCGAACTAGCAGGACAGCAAATGTTCTTAATATTTTTCCAGGATTTGTGCAAACAGCCATTATTTTTTAATTAAGATTATCATCATCTTTTTTACGACCTCAGTGTCTCCAAGGCACCATAAAAAGCCACTGATTAGCATATTAATACACATCACAAGCCATCGAAGCAAAGGAAAATTGAAGACAGCAAAGCCAGTCTCAGCCAGCGTTGGGCCTTTAGACTAGCTTTCCAATTACCAGTCAAACTGTTGGCAAACACATAAGGTGTGAAGCAAGAAAACTTTTTTTTATCTCAAGTACAAACAGAATATCATCAACTAATAATTACATCCTCCTCGCCTTCCAGAGTGAGACTTATCACAGGTCTGATAAAGGGCCTCAGGTATGTGTCACCAGAGGAAACAGCATCTCCGCATCAACTTTGTGTGGAACGTCATGAATAATTAGTGAAAGTGGTTCATTTTTGGTGTGTGTGTTTTTGTCCGTTTCACTAAGCGTGTGCATGTCAGTAGTTGATTAAAAAGAGATAATCCTCTTAGTTAATCCATCTACATAATGGTCACTCTGCTGTGGTTTCAGCAGAGGTGAATTAAATGCTTTTCAGTTGAACCTTTAGTCACTTAGCAAGGCCACAGATTCTAAAGTCCTTTTTCATTGGGTGAACATCATGTACTTGCGAATTGGTAGATTCATTCCAGCACCAGCATGCTTTCTCCACATGACTTCATCTTTCTCGTCTCCTCTGCTTTGCCATTATACTCAGATGTGTTGAGTGCTGTCTAATTTAGCAGAAATGGCAGAAACACTCTGTAATGTATGCAGAGCTGCAAGCTGGTGATCGAATGTTTTTGTAGTTGATGCTATTTTAAAGCTGTAATTACAGAGTGGATTTGGTAGATAATTTATAATGAGTGTTTTTCATTCATTCTGAGTGTTTATTTGAATATAAAATTACATTAACGTTGGTTTGCAGATGAACTGATGCCTGCACACCTGGCAGAATTATTATAATTGAAGGGTAGATTAAATTTCACATTTTGCTGCAACTAAAGAGCGGAATGATTGATTGTCTTGTTTGACGATGTTTGTACCTTTTTTTTGTTTTGTTTTGTTTTTTGTTTTTATGAAGGACAAACCAATCACGCCTAAAATGAAAATTGCATTGCCGTTTTAACCTTGGGTTTGTGTGTGTCTGTGTGTCTGTGTCTATGTGTCTTTCCCCAGCTGGATGAAGGTACACCTCCTGAACCTGAGGGCTCATTTGTGGATTACCAGACCAGTATGGTGAAACACTCTAAGGCCATTGCTGTCACTGCTCAAGAAATGGTAGGCCTTCAAAATAACAGTTTACGTTCCGTTTTGGAAATGTGACCGTAATCTGTGAATATATTATCTATTTATTAAATGGAAAAACTGTCTAATATTAAATGTTTTCAGAATTAAAATAAATCCGAATAAAACCAGCTTGGGCTCCTTGTGCATCGTCCCTGAGTTCAGGTGTGGACTGTGGCCCTTTGCTGCGTGTCATCCACCCCTTGCCTCTCCATCTCTCAAGCTATCCTGTCAAAAGAAAAAAAGCCCCAAAAATATATATTTAAAAAAAAAAAAATTTAAACACCAAAATGTGTTTTATCTGTCAGTTTATCTGTTGGTAGGAATTTAAATGTCCGATGCACTTTGCTGTTGATTGATGCTAATTCACCAAACTTACATAAAATGTCTCCTGGTAGTTTGAGGAGAAAATATAGTTAGTTTTCTTTATAAAGAACACGTTTAGCATTTTATAATTAAGCAGCTTATTACTGTGCTGTACTTTGTGTGCAGAGTTCAGAAGTGGAGTAAACGTATGTGTTTGAGTTTGGACTGACAGTTGATGTGTGTTCATCCCTCAGATGACCAAATCGGTGACATGTCCAGACGACCTGGGAGCTCTGGCTTCTCAGGTGACTGTGGACTACAGCCAGCTGGCCGTTCAGGGACGACTGGCTGCTCACACGGCTGAGCCAGAGGAGGTGAGGATGGCCCGGGTGTCACCAAAAGACAGATTGTCTTAACTATTATACATACCATTATGTCATTTTTGTTTCCTGTATATGCATGCAGCTATATGTCATGGTGGAGCTGAGACACATTTTCTTTATAAACATTTACACTGCCTGATTACATATTTTTCTTTTCAATCTTCTTTTTTTTTCCATAAAAATAATAGCTCAGTAAATGTATATTGTTTTATTTTGTATGGTGTTCTCTGTTGTCCAGATTGGTTTCCAGATCAAGACTCGAGTGCAGGAGCTGGGACATGGCTGCATCTTCCTCGTCCAGAAAGCTGGAGCTCTGCAGATCACTCCCTCTGATGGTTTCACCAAACGGGAGCTCATTGATTGTGCCCGTGCGGTCACAGAGAAGGTATTATCCTTTCATTAACATATCTGGTTGAGAATTTAGTTGTTTTTCTTTCTTCCTACTACTCCAGTTCTTTAGTGATAATAGTAAAGCATTATTTTCTGGCTGTGGGGTTTGCAACAAGTGATCCTGCTGTCATGGTATCAACAGCATAAAAGGGTTTGAGCCATAATTCGTTTTATCACATGCCTCCTGAATTAAACCATTTTGGATAAAAACATTTGCTTAAGGCATGTTTATGCGTCAAAGACTGACTGACTGTTTAATAAGAATTCATAGTCCTTGGCAAAATACAATACTCAGCGGACTGTTTTAATAATTCATTCGTAAATATTGCACAGATCATATCCAAGCAGGCCAGCTACATTGTACAGATGTGGTATGGGAATGCAAACAGATTCCTCTAGAGGTATTAAATTTATTCTTTTTCTTAATGGTTTGTCTGAACATTTCCTGCTTGTTCTACTTTGACCCCCTAACCCCATAACATTCCACAGCTATAATTATTTTTATGAAAATATGCAAGTGTCAAGACTTTGGAAACATCAGTTAATAAGTTTCTGCTGCCACTCAGGCATCTGTGAGGAAAACAAATGGAGTTTAAACCAGTTTGACATGTACTCATTTGGATGAGTGAGTGATGGTTGTGCATTGCTCTGCGCCAACATGGTATTTTGCCTTCACAGCAAATTTTTAAATCCTCTTGCGTCTAGTGTTTGGTCTTCTCAGTTGAATGCATTATTTATGATGTTCCAAAGAGAGACATGTCACAAACAATGCAAAATAGTGTTCACCAGGATCGATAGCAGTATGTTGCTTATTTCTGCTGTTTTGTCCAGTAAGGGTCTGTTCAACTCCACTCCAACTGACCAAAACATAGTAATATTTAAAAGAATATAGTGGGTTGTGTCCCTAAGAACAAAATGACAGTTAAGGTATGGTAAATGTACTTTCTGCCTAAGGTCAAGAAATCTGCACATCCTCACCTGTATGATTATAGGGTGTGATGTCTGTGTGTGTCCTCAGGTGTCCTTAGTGCTCTCAGCACTCCAGGCAGGCAACAAGGGTACTCAGGCCTGCATCACAGCAGCCAGCGCAGTGTCTGGCATCATCGCTGATCTGGACACCACCATCATGTTCGCCTCCGCCGGTACACTCAACGCAGAAAATGACGAGTCCTTTGCTGACCACAGGTTAGAGCTGGAAATGTGCCCGATTGTGTCTGTATACACATACTTAGTGTGCGAGACATCACTAAGTCTACAAGTACAAGACGTGACTGGAGTCTAAAACCAGCCCTCCGGTTATCTTTCATCTGAAACTGACAGAATGACATATTAGCTGGTCAACAGGGGGCAGGAAGTCTCTTAAGTTAGAAACTACAAATTACCCTCAGGGTTTGAAAGACAGAGGAAGTGTCACATCTCTACTGTTCTTACTCTCAGACTAAAGACTCCACTCGCAGGCAGGATTCCCATGGTGCTTTAAAAAAAAGATAAAAAAACAGCATAAGATTTAGAAGTTAAAAATTATTCTGGGTATATTCAAGGAAATCCCACTTTGTTGTCTACTAAATGTCTACTAAAAGTGTTCACAATCTAGTGTTTCACTTGTGTTGAACTTGATTGGCCTAGTTATTTTTGAATGATTAGAGTTCAAAGAGATACATATCTAATGATCCAATACAAGACTTGGCACATTGCATGCTACTATGACCAAAAATGATTAATCTAGATCCTTACAGATAATTGTTAGTGAAATTGCACTGTACCTCACTGAAGAATCATGAAAGCAAAAAATGTAGAGAAGTCCTGCCGCGGCAGGATGAAAGAGTATGGAATCACCTTTTAGCTCAAATTATGTCATGCAGCTCGCTTGAAAATCAAGAAGAAACTTTGCAGCAGTTTCCTACATTTTCTGTTGTCAATTTTAGAAATTTAACCGACTCTACTGGTTACATGGTCTTGCCTATCTTCCTTGTGTTTGCACAGGCTTTGATATACAAATGCCTTCGATATGAAAAGAGATGAGCGCTAGTATACATCATTTTGATGGCTGGAATTCACACACATTTACAGTTTGGATCGCCAAAAGCAACATTCAACACTTATCTTTTTCTGCCTCCTCATTTTCTCTCTCAGGGAAAACATTTTGAAGACGGCCAAAGCTCTGGTCGAGGACACAAAGATGCTGGTGTCCGGTGCAGCTTCCGGTCAGGACAAGTTGGCTCAGGCCGCCCAGTCTTCGGCCAAAACCATTACCCAGCTCACAGATGTGGTCAAACTGGGAGCTGCCAGTATTGGCTCTGATGACCCTGAGACACAGGTTAGCCAGTCTTGTTTTTCTGCTTGTCGTTTATTCACTGTGCCTGTTTTCACAAATGTGGAGGAATGAGCTGTGAATGGCAATAACCTTTTCAGAGTTTTGTCTCTTTCCCAGGCTGAGTTGTGATAAATTGGTGCCTATCTGCGTGTCCTTTCTCTAGGTGGTTCTGATAAATGCTGTCAAAGATGTGGCCAAGGCGCTGGCTGAGCTCATTAGTGCCACAAAGTGTGCTGCTGGCAAGGCAGCTGATGATCCATCTATGTACCAGCTAAAGAGCGCTGCCAAGGTGAGGGGATCAGGGGATATGCCGGGCCTGAAACTATGTCACCTATCTTGAATGCAGTTAAATCTTGTGTCTTATGTCTTTTTCAGATTTAGAAATCTTAAACATCAGAACATTGTATTTTCTTTCTATTTTATTTTTTGTAAGAAATCAAATCATTTGCTTAATTTCTTCTTTTTTTCCAATGATGAAAATTTTCCATTGCAACATGAAAATGGATGTTCTGGATAACAGGAAACTGGGAATTTTTAGCCAAGATAAATCAGCTGAATGCTTGGCTTCAACGCATATTTTCAAAGCCCCACTTCACAATCCACTGCTGACTGCTCATTATCACCTCGAGCTGTGAAGTTTTTAAAAACATGTCAGATTCACAGTCTGCGGCAGCTCAGTGTGTCATGGAGTCTTTCAGAGGATAACAACAGGCCTCACATGCAATTTTAGGACTTGAGGTGAAAAAAAACCTTGTAAACCATCTGTAAGATTTTGGCTTTCTTGAGTCATGAGGACTGTGGGCTTTCCTGCATGGGTGCTGTGCGCCCCCTGTCTTTGAGTTTGATGTAGTACACCCTCATACTCCTTTGCAATGCTCAAACCATAGAAGAGGACACTGGCAGCTTATATGTAGGATCACACAAAAAAGCGCTATATATGCAAAATGTGCTTACAATGAAAGACATTTTAGGAGGATCCACTGTGAAATATGAATAGAAAATTTGAAAGTTGGGGTGAGACATGTATACGCTCATTGTTTAGGTTCAGGTTACTTTATTTGTACCTGTAGGTAGATTTGGTTTCCAGTAAAAGACAAGGCAGTCCTGTTGACAAAACTCTTACAAAGAGTGAACAATTAAAATAAACCACTATAATAAATAAGATAAAAATACTAGTTACTGATGCACATCATTTGATATCATGACATGAACATGCTTTAGTGGGTTAGGGGTTAGGGTTAGGGTTAGGGTTAGTTGATGTGAATAAAAAAAAAAAAGTTTCATTGTTTTGTTCTTTTGTTTTTCTGTCAGGTGATGGTGACCAACGTGACGTCCCTGCTAAAGACAGTCAAAGCCGTAGAGGATGAGGCCACTCGGGGCACCAGAGCGCTGGAGGCCACAATTGAGTGTATCAAACAGGAAATGTCGGTAAGGACGGGTGGAGGGCATGAGCATGGGTGGTTGCTGGACAACAGTATCACCAAGGATTACATATGGCTGAATGATGTCTTTGATGATTCAAGAATAATATTTGATAATGTTAACACAGCAGACGCTGATGATCAGTTTTGTTATACTGGAGAAATCCCAATCAAATTAGTTTACTACCTGTCAAATAACACCTACCCACTTTGTGGTCCCCAGCTGTTTCAATCCAGGGATGCTCCCAACAAGACAACCACACCTGAGGAGTTCATTCGCATGACTAAGGGCATCACCATGGCAACTGCTAAAGCAGTGGCTGCAGGGAACTCTGCCCGGCAGGAGGACATTATCCATACAGCCAACCTCAGCCGCAAGGCTATTTCAGACATGCTCACCACCTGCAAGGTTCTTCTTTTACCTTACCAATAGAATAATTATATTTATATGATGTGTCTATATAAAACCTAAAAAGAAACTTTAACATCCTGTTCAATCTGGAGTGTATATTCTGTTTGTCTTTCAGCAAGCAGCCTACCATCAAGAGGTCAGTGAAGAGGTGAAGAACAGAGCGCTGATGTTCGGATCAGAGTGTACAACTGGATATATCGATCTACTGGAACAAGTACTATTGGTAGGTTGACATTGTGTCGTTAAGTATCTGCAGGGAGTGTGTGAGATTTTTTTTTGTTCTTTGTTAGCAGTTACAAGTAACAGTGAATGTTTTGGTCCAATAATGCTCCTGCATGCTGAAATACATCAAAGAGATTTTGACTATTAACCTCTTATCCTTGCTGTAAATGTATCTGTACTGTTTCTAAAATTTAGAATAAAACCTTGACTGTACACTATGTATGGAAGATATCAGATGAATTGTATATTTTGTATCAGATTGTTCAAACATATATTTGACAAATGACACTTTATACATTTATATGAATTTCTCTGCTGTTTAGCCTGACATATTTGATATCTTTAGACATTTTGGTACATCACGTTAACCTTTAGTTAAGTTTGGTGGCTTTGAATGATGTTCACAGGCTGTCTCAGTCTTTCCAAGCATAATAGTGTTTGTTTAAAGTAAGTGTGTGTGTGTGTGTGTGTGTGTGTGCATCTTTTGGTGTGTGTAGGTCCTGCAGAAGCCCACTGGAGAGCAGAAGCAGCAGCTGGCAGCTTGCTCCAAACGAGTGGCAGGAGCTGTCACAGAGCTCATCCAGACCGCAGAGGCCATGAAAGGTAATGGCCTCACACACACACCCTTTACAGTGTTATATCTGATGAACTGAAGTCTGTATCATTAATTGATGACTTTTATTGATTTACTAATGAAGCTTCCAACAAAATCTGCTATTGTTTGTAATCCCCAGTAGGAGGCTACTACATCTATAACAGAATACATTTTAAATTCCCCAAATAACAGAAACAGTCCTTTTAAACAATGTGTTGGTAATATCCCTGTCCTCCTTCTTTTGCTACAGATGGAGGTAAGTTAGCATTGTTTTCTGTGCCTTATTTCACCAGTTGTGAGCTGTTCAACACGTTCTCTCCTCAGTGCTAACATTGATTCATTTAATCTCATTTTGAAGTCCAGCTGCTCGCAGGCTTCTCAAGTGCGTAGTGTCAGCTCTATCCATCGCGCTTCATTTTATGTGCCATCTCATTTTAAATGAATCACTCCATCTTCATTGCAGTGAATGGCAGTTTGTGGCCTTCGTCAGCTATGCATGGGATGCAGTGATTTTTTTGTATTTTTTATTTTTTTCTCTTCGATCACAGTATTGTTGTTGTTGTGAGGCATGATCTTTTGACACTCCGCCTTGAGACGGGTTTTTTTGTTTGTTTGGTTTTTTTTTTGGTTTTAAAATCCTGTTGTTAAAATTTAAATCTCAAATGCATGTGTGCATGCACCCCTCAGGTTCAGAGTGGGTGGACCCTGAGGATCCAACAGTGATTGCAGAAACGGAGCTGCTTGGAGCAGCGGCGTCCATCGAAGCGGCAGCTAAGAAGCTGGAGCAGCTCAAACCCCGAGCCAAGCCCAAGGTGGGTGACTGCATGACTGGTAACTCACTTAGACTTTGTCAGTGTATGGGGAACTGATTTGAGAGCAGTACAAAAGAAGATGGTTTGATTCTGTTTTCAGTCTAATGAAACCCCCCCATAAACACCTTATTGTGATCAGATGCCTTTGGAATGTACAGTATGTGAAACACTGTATGTGAAACACTGTATATTAGACATTTCCTTTGTAGCAATGCCTTGAAACATGACCTTTTTACCTTTATCAATGTTCTATGACTGTCTGTAAACATCTCTGTGTTGTTTTTTGTGGTTTATATTTAAGTTTCAGTGTTAATGTTGGGAGTGCAATTTCACACTAACCAAATTACACTTTTTTGTTTTTGACGTTCTCAGAAAGGGTGCTCTGTGTCCTCCCCGTTTACATTTTCCCATCACATTTGTTTTGACTTTGATTTAAGATCACAACTTAACCTCTTAACCTGAACGTCCCACAATCTCATGTGCGACCCAGTTTTTTTGGATATCCGTGCCCACCAAAGTTTTACTTTTTGAGTTTTATCTCTGCAGCTGTTGAGTTGAAAACTCACTAAAACCTCACCCCCTCCTCCACATTATATTATCTTCAGCCATACCCCCTTCTTTCATACAAGACATCTGCCATATTCCCTTTCCTCTTCTGATCATCCATCCATCTGTGGTAGTTCTAGCCAAAGCCTGTCCCAGTATATGTCCTCTGGCTTCCAGTTAACCCTTCCCCTCCCTCCCTGCCTGCCCCCACCACCGGAGGCCTTCTCTGCAGGGCTCTGTCTGATATGTTTGATATATTAGGTTGTTATTCAGTCCCAACTATATATCAAACATATTCCTACAGTGTCCCGCTCTGTCTACAGACTTGTGGTGTGAATGTGTTTGTGTGTGTGAAAGTGTGTTTTAAACAGGCAGACAGTATGAATGTTGTATGTGTAATACTTGTTTCTTCTTTAGTGGCATCTCGCCTCTTATCAGTTGTTGCAGTTTTAAAAAAGATGCTTAGTATCTGGCTGTGTGAAGCTTTGTCACCTTTTTTTGTCTTAGTCACCAAGCGTGTCAGTATTGATAGGAAAATGATTTAACAGATGTACCTTTTTTGTACTTTGTTTAAAAATGTTGCTGAAGGTAACAAATGTCAGCGTTGTGTAGGACGCCATCCTGTCTGACTGATTGTTCTCCTTCCCCTTCAGCAAGCGGACGAGACACTGAACTTTGAGGAGCAGATCCTGGAGGCAGCCAAGTCCATCGCTGCTGCAACCAGCGCTTTGGTCAAATCAGCCTCGGCTGCCCAAAGAGAACTGGTGGCTCAGGGCAAAGTGGGCCTCATCCCCGCCAATGCTGTGGACGATGGACAGTGGTCCCAGGGGCTCATCTCTGCTGTAAGTGTGTAGTGAATTGCCATTTTTACAAGGCTTTACAATTTAAGAAGAAGAAGATATACTTTATTAATCTTTTTTCACTCAGTGTTACACATACAGACCCAAAATACAGTCATGGACACACAGGGTTTATAGACATGTGAATGAGGAGTGATGGTGGAACGATGGGCTGCCACGTAGCGGCGCTTCAGGAACAGTTAGTTCCTCAGTCCACAGGACCTGTCGTCTCTCCAGCTACCAGTCCACTCTTCATACTGTGGTCCGTGCTGGACTTGAACCGGCAACCATAGCCAAATCCCTACAGACTAAGCTACTGCCACCCCAAAGCAGCACAATTTTGTCAACAAAATGACTTCGATTTTCCTCCCTTTCCTTTTTTCTTCCAGGCACGTATGGTGGCAGCAGCGACCAGCAACCTCTGTGAGGCAGCCAACGCCTCTGTACAAGGCCACGCAAGTGAGGAGAAGCTCATCTCTTCAGCCAAACAGGTGGCGGCCTCCACTGCCCAGCTGCTGGTAGCCTGTAAGGTGAAGGCTGACCAAGACTCTGAGGCCATGAGGAGACTGCAGGTGAGCAGAATACAAGTAGTTTTCAACATGGAGCAGGGCAGTGTTTTTGTTTACTGTCTGTTACTACAGCATTTACAGGGCTTCAGATTTAATTGAATGTGTTCTTTTCTTTTTCATGCTGCTATTAGCTGTTCTAAATTGATCTTTTCTAATAGATTGCTGGGAATGCAGTAAAGAAGGCATCAGACAACTTGGTGCGGGCGGCTCAGAAGGCAGCGTTTGACAAAGCAGATGATCATAATGTGGTGGTCAAGACAAAGTTTGTGGGTGGAATAGCACAGGTAAGAATGTCAAGCAGCATTAATTTTTATGACATGCTTCTGTTGCCTTAAAGGGACCGCTTTTCGGAAAAAAAAGTACTATCTGCAACAGCTTTCATATTCCAGCTCTGCTGACCAAACCTCCTCTTGTCTGTTCACATTCTCAACATTCTCATAAAATATATTATTTCTGCTTCATCCAATACAAATATTGTACTTGTACTTGAGAAAATGTAGGAATTGAATCATAGTATATCTACACACACACAGATACATCCCTCTCTCAAAACGTATTTTAAAGGTCCACTGTATAACATTTAGGAGGCTCTATTGGCAGAAATGGTATAGTCATAGGTATGTTTTCATTAGTGTATACTCACCTGACAATAAGTGTTCTCCTTACCTTAGAATGAGATGTTTTTATCTACAGTGGGAGTGGGTCCTCTTCAGAGTCTGCCATGTTTCTACAGTAGCCCAGAACATACAAACCAAACACGGGTTCTAGAGAGGGCCTTTTACGTTTTCCGCAGGTTTTAAATGTAAAATGTTTTCGTCTGTTTAGATCATTGCAGCCCAGGAGGAGATGCTGAGAAAGGAGCGAGAGCTGGAGGAAGCCAGGAAAAAACTGGCTCAGATCAGACAGCAACAGTACAAGTTCCTGCCCAGCGAACTACGAGAGGACAACAACTAATAATTCAAACTCGCCATCACTGCTGCATACGCTTGAAACAGTGTGAAGAGCACATCTGTGTTTGTGTGTGAGTTTGTGTGTGAATTTCTGTCCTTTTTTAAATGGCACACTTGAACAGGTATGTGGTCTACATGGACTTCAGATATGTAGTGACTGATTTAACAAACCAGTAAGTAAAAGTCTGCAGTCCATGTGACATTGAAAGATACTAAAGTCAACTACTAGCAAGTTTGAAATACTACTGTGTGGAATACTACTTCCTGAAAACAACAAAGATTGTGGTGAATCGACTGAAGAACTGCTTTTTGTCCTCATGTATAACATAACTACTTTGACCAGAATGTGACGTGCCTGGGACAAATGGCACAGCTCATATGCTCTAATGTTTGCCCATAAGCTACAGTTTCTTTTTCCTTTTTTTTGTTTTACAAACTCATGTTATATACAACTCTAGTTCAGACACTTCATTGAAGAATTGATTGTATTGCTGTTCATGTGATCCAGCCATTTAACTGCAGCGTCGCAAAAAGATTTCAGCTCAGAACTCTGATATTTGTACAAATGTTGGCCTTAATTCTACAATTTGACACGTTTTTAATATCTGTTCAAATTATCTGGCATGTCTTTAATTCAGTGACCACCTTTATATGAAGGAAGGTAGGGTTTTTGCATATTGGTGTTTCTCGGACCATTCTGTAAAGTTAAATAATGGACAGTTGTTTTTGGGAATGTTCCCTTAAAGTAGACAGCGATATAAGCGTCTTTGCTTTCTTTCTTTTCTTTTTTTTTAATGCTGATGTTAATGGGCTCTACGTGTCTTTTAAAGATGCAACAAATTATACATGTTTGTCTAAGCCCTTGAATATAGGTGTCATTGTATGCATCCGCTATGACTCAAGTAGAAATGTTTTTCATTATGTTACCATGTGAATGCTTCTCTACACGGGACGACACATTACCATAGAGGGAATATTTATTACTCACAAGTATTTTTAGCATAAAGACGTCTTTTGCGTGGCAGAAATAGTCTTTACCACCGCTTAGCAGAGCCTGTGGTGGCTTTCAATCAGACATCCTCCCCAATCCTTCAGACATATTTTTATTCCTTATCGTTTCAAGTATTGAGACATACGTACAGTATAAGATAATTTGATCATGATGCAATAACATTGATGGTGCTTCAGGGGGCAGCATTGGTTTCCCTTACACCGTGCAAACTTGTATAGGAGATGATATTGTATACAATATGTGGTTAGAATAATTAGGCAGGTTGATTGACTACAACATCTTGCATACCTTGAAACACCTCAGACCTCTTGAATCCGTGCAGCACACCTTCTGTGCTTTGTGTGATGGTTACTACTCTCTGCAGATTTACTTTTGCCCTTTCAGTGTTAGAGACTGATTATAGTAATTTTTCCAGCATTACTCAATCACTGCCAGGGACTTGATTTGAGTCAGTTCACGTCCAATTCTGTAAATTAAGGAAGCAACAAAGTTCACATTCTTGAAACAACTTAGCAATAAGCTAATTCTAACAAATAAAACACAACAAGTACTGATGTTAAAATAAGTGAATTGAAAGTGAAGTGACTGCAACGTAACTGCAGTTAATGTATTTTCTTCATCAGTCTCTGAATTTAAGGGTGCTCTGTGCAACTTTACTGAATATACTATTTGCTGCAATAGAGGAACCTTTTTGTTTACCGAGTTTGATTGTAGTGTGTTTGGTTCCCTTGTCTTACTATATTGACTGTTTCAATATTAAACTACAGTATATTGTAAGATTAGGTCCTGCTGTGAAAATGCATGGCTTTGTGCTTCAGATGCATCTCTTAGTACAGCAACAGAGTTTTAAGGACACACTGAGGGATTATGACCTCCACATACAGACAGTATCGCAAATAGCTATAGACAGACCATCACTTTTTAGTTTGTTTAACAGTTGGGTCTTCAGAGGCGTTTTCTGGCATTGTATTTTATGTGTGAGCGTGGGAGGGCGGGAGGGTTCATTGCTCATCAGTCCAGTCTGTAGTGTTATTATTAGTGCCTTAGTCCGTAGCCCATACAGTGTCTGGTCTGCTTGAGTGACAGCTTCACCTCATCGGTCAATAGAAGGTACTGGATGACAATGTAGGTTCGTGTCGGTGGGTTTTCTATCATTTGTTGTCCCACTTGTTAACATACTGTTCCTCGAAGTACTTAATTTTTTTTTTTTTTTTTCACTCTCTGCCACATGTAAGGCCTTTTGGGGATGACGGAGGAACTGTACGCCAGTCAAAAAAATGTGTTGCTGTTTAAAATGTACCATCAGTATATATACAAGTATGTATATTATATATATATTATATATATATATATATATATATATGAACACATTTTTGTATGGCATTCCATAGGCATGTACCACAGTGCTTCTAAACTACAACAGACTGGATATTTGGGTCTGTCAACTGCTTTATTGTATGTTAAGAAGTCACTGAAATTGTATGAATGGGCTTTTTTTTTTTTGTTGTGCTTTTAAGCCTCTACGAAAGATACATGTGATGAGAACATTTCGATATATCTGTCACCATTAAGATGTTGTGACACATTTCAATGATGTGGAGTAAATTGAAGTGTTCTGTATGGTTTTCCTCCCTAACAGAAATACAATTATGAAGTTACTACAATAAAGATAAGTGATAACATACAATATAAAAGATATTTATCTGGCCTCAATAAAACTATTTTTTGTATTCACTGAAAATAAAGCATTTCAATGTAACTTTGGGTGTCAAATTTCCTTTTGTAGTTTGGAGAGCAAAGACTGAAATTTTTGCAGTTTACAGTGGGTATGATTTGTCATCATTTCTCACTTTCAGGTTTATGAACGTACATTTCTTTTCATATTTGAGACCTGCATTATGTGGCTTTGTTTTAATAGGCCTCCCCCATTTTGCCAGTATCATCTTTGACGTCTTTTAGTTTGAGATATTTGAGCTCATGAAGGTAAACAGAATTTCATTGGTCAAATGCAAATTCCTGACTGCAATATTTCAGGGGCAACCACTCTCTTGCACTAAACTTAATTGTCTGTGTTCAAGGAGCAACAGAAATTGTCTCCCCCCACTCAAACATTTTCTTCTTTTTATTCCTACAGTTAAATGTTTGAGCTTCAATGATGTATACACAGTTTGACACTAGAAGGATGTTTTCACGTTCATAATTCTGAATTGAAATCTCTGCTAATTGAAAATCTGATTTGAAGGGGCGGGGTCTACGATCATGATTTGTGACATCACAAATAGTTACGTCAATTCAATTTAATTCAAGTGTGATGTAGAAACTTGTAGGTGTCACTGAAAATGGAGCAGGAGACATCTTGTCTCCAGCAGAAAAACTTCAGGAATTAATTATTAATTAAATTAAGAATTTTAGATTTTTTTTTTTTTAATGAGTTAGGAGTGGATGTTTTTTCTTAAGGATTATAATGTGAAAAAACATCAGTTTTAATGATTCATTAATTTATCTGCTTAGTTTTGTAAATTTGTAAATATGCTACCTTTGGTTGCCTCATTGGAAAAATTAACACACAGCTGGGTTTGATGAACATTTCTGAATTAAGCTTGAGCATTGGAAATTAAATAAATAACTCAATCTTTGCATCCTAAGTCTCAAGAGCAGTTAGAGTTAAATACACCTTTATACTTACAAAAAGAGAGAAAAAAAGACGCACGCTTGATTCAGCTTAAACATCTTATGAAGCACACAACCTGACTCACATCCCTCACAAGCTCAAATATCTGTAACTACATCCAGGCAATGGCTAAAATTGAGGACACTGAGGTCATGTCCTCAGAGTTTTCTGTGTAAACGTGTGGGGTTTTAGCCTCTTGGGGGGGTGTTCTACAATTACTTCAGTTTATAGGTAGATTCCAGTTTGTTCTGAGTTGATATTGGCCTGCTTTATTTTGACTATTTTAGGCAAACAGAAAATGAAGAATAGGGCTGGGTATCAATGTTGGTGCCGATACAATGCCTGATTTCGGGGAATATGAACCTTGTTGAACCTTTTTTCTTATTTAACAAAATATATCTGTCTGCCCTAGTAAGAAAATTTCAATCAGAGAGAATCAAAAATCTGATTAAATGTCAAACAAAACCAACTTTCTGCACTTGCCAGATTACAGTCCTCAATGCAAGACACACATTTTGGTTGTATTGAGTTTTAGTACCCAGACCTATAATGATTCAGGTCCCCACCAGGATTTTATTCCTGGTGGTTTGGAGATGACCATTATATTGGCAAGACAAATTTACAGAAAGTATAAATGCAACAGTTGACTGAATAAGTCAAAAGATGCTACATCAAACTCTCCATGCGTGTGTTTTTTTTTGCATCCTCTCAATGTCTCAGCAGCAGTACTGACAGGATGCAGAACTCCACTACGAGTTCTCCAGCCCCAATGAATAGCAGAGAGGTGAGTCCTGGCAAGGTCTCTGTAAGTGTCCGTCAGTTTTGTGTCAGGACAAGATGGCATTTCTGAGTCAGCACTAAACCTAAAGCTATATTGAGTCCATGCTATAAACTGAGACCCGTGCTAAATTTGTCTGCCACTAAAATTTGAGGCGGCAATGTCAATTACAGTTTCACAGCTGCTCCCGGCGCTGCTTTTAAAGCTGAAATCCTTCTTTTCTGCTATATTCCCTAAAAGTTAGCTCTTCAGGCTACAACTGAGAACACTTTTCTGCGACAGAAACCTAAATCTCATTTACTAATTTCCAGTTGCTGTTGGATCACACTTGTAACAAGAGGCCTTGCTTCACTGGCTTGGCTGAGGGGGAGCCAACAAGAATCCTGGCTAAAAGGACGAGGGCATTGAATTTAATGTGGACAAGCAGCTGATAGAAGACAGCTCATCCATTATTTTTATGCCCTAAATCTAATTATAATAAACGTCAGAAAGCGGGTACGGTTACTGATGACTGCAGCATGCTACATAGCAAGGTTAGAGGCTTCATCCACTGGAGACAGTTGTATTCAATATAAGATTACCTGTCCTGACTTGTGGGCGCCACAGGCACAAACTGTTTCTTGATTCTTTCCTCTCAACCACTGTGACCTGCAGTCAGTGCTTAATTTTTCACATTTACTTTTCAATAAAAAGATCAGCGTCACATTAGGTTGTTGGCCGTTACTCCTTGGATGGATGGAAAATAACACACCAATGACATGCTGTAACAAACACTCATCACACTGATATTTTTACATGACCTCACACATGAGCTATGCCCATCTAAACCGTTACGATGAGCCTAATTAGGTTGAATCACAGCAAGAGATAACTTTTGACTCAGAAGGAGTGGGCGGAACATCAACATTACTCCTCCTTAATACATTTAATTATTGAGGAGGATGTGAGAAATTCCAGTCTAGACATTAACAATGAAATCATCACCATACTACCATTTGTGTCTGGGAGCTGCTCACTCAGCTGCCTCAACACATCTACAATGAACATTTCAAACAACTCTGGGCTTTTATTTGTGGTCTGACATTGTAGCAGCAAAGTTTGACTAAACTATGCTTTTTTGTTCTGCTAGTTGTAAAATTCAGTCACTCAACTACAGAAGAGAAACTATACTGAGCTGTGATGCACCACAGAAACAAAGAGTCTGTGTTTAGATTTGGGAGTTCTTCACAACAATAAATCAGTGATGCATACATAGCATCAACAGACAATGGTCACCTAATGAAATCAAATTTCACAGGTCTTTAAACTTCACATGTAGCTCTTCAAAAGGCCATAACACCATTGTTACAGGGTCACATATTTTTCTGCATGATGGGAATTCTGGGAACACTGAGGGTTGTTTAAATTATCACACCTGTCAGCATAAATCTGACTCATGGTGAAACTTGTTCCTGGTGAACAGACCAATTAAAAGACAGACGTTTTGTCTAGAAATAAACCATTGATTTCCGCAGAGCACTACAGAAGAAATAATGGTTATGATATGCAACAATGAGAAGAAATCGATTGAAAACTGATTTATCCGATAATATTTGAGAAATAAGTTTTGGAACATTTACTCAAGTCTGGAAATGATCAGTTAGGGTGTACATTTTAAGCAGACTTTAGGTTGTGGAGTGGCAAGCTCCCTAACATTAGTTTAAACAAAACATGATAAAAGGCTCCAAAGAATCATGAGGACGACCACTTCTTCCTCCCTGTATAATTGCCCTTGGAAGAGAATATAAAACATTTTATATTCAAAAGTAAGAGTTCATGGTAAAAAGACCTCTGCCTGCACTATAAAGAACTCTAGGCACAAGTTTTAGAATGACTTGCAGATCCCTGACTCAAAACCCTTAATCTGACTAAATCATTAATTGTTGGACAGGTACAAGGTGGTGATGTCTGTCTCTCTATCTTTCCAGGGTGCTAGAGTGACATGGATTTCGCCATGAGCCTCTCTGATCTCTATATATGACTGGCATGCCTGACTGGCTGCTTAACAGTCCACAAAACACATGGTGGGATGACAACACAGTGACAGCTGACTGCCTTAAAAAAAAGCTCCACAGGAAGGATATCAGACCATCAAAGAGAAAGTAAAAGGGACAAATGATTTAATGCAAAATGTAATGT